TCAGGAAATTAATTGTTAAATCACTGTCTGCTATTGGTTTCGATGTTTTAGACTAACAAGTAATTATCAAATTATGAAACCATTCACATACATATTTGTCTTGATAAACTGAGAAGATTTGCAGCACAAAAATGGAAGTCACCAATCTGAAACAGTGTAATACAACAGGTAAATTAATCTAAACAGGAACATAAAAGTAGCAAAAGAGATCAAAACTACTTGCAAATCTCTATTTTTATGGTCAGCAAAAGCAAAATGACCATCTATTACTCTGAAGAGAAAAAAAACTGAAACCAGGTATTAACAAATACATAATACTCATATACATTGCTAATGATGCACAGGTTGTCACTTAGATTTACAAGTACCAATGTAGAAAAAAGGGGAAAGAGGTTGCTAAAACAAGTCCTCCAGCTCTCCTCAGGGTTTTCATTTGTATAAGGAGGATAAAAAAAGCATTTCCTCTCCCTCCAGCACCATAAGAGTAATTTTTTTCATACTTCAAAAATTACTTAAATAACAAATTATAAAGTTCAGCACATTTTTTTTTCTGAAGATCTCATTAGCTGAAGAAAAGAAAGTAATTTTCAACTACCAATAAAAAGAAACTGCATGCACAAAATGGTTTCAGACTACAGCCCACATTCTGACTCTTTGAAGTAAAAAAACCTTCCAATTCCAGAAGAGGTTGCTCGGACCACAGAGCCAGGTTCTCCAATGATGTATGTGGCAGGAGACAGTAGTACTAAACTGAAAAGAGCAGCTGCTGACCATATGCATTCAAACGGAAAAAACCAAGTGCAAGAAAAATTAAATATTGGAACAGGACCTGGCATGAGGCCGTTGAATCTCAAGACTCAAGTGGACAAAACAGTAAGTGAGCTGATCTGAACTCAATGTTAAAACTGTGCTCACCACAAAGTTGGGCTTGATGATCTACAGAGATAATTCTCAACTAGAATTGCTTTGATTCTAATGCAAATGGAAGGCTACCCAAATGTACATATTTTATTTTCTTTTACCATCTGAATGAGTTTAAGATAAGGATAAAGTACCACAGCAAAATCCTCTTACAGGATCTGGTTTAAGCACAAGATTAAGATGGATAACATGTTTGTTTCTATCTGTCTGAGGTGACTGAAACAGAATTTACAAAAAAGTCATTGCAAAGACAACTATTTTCCTCAGCAAACAATTAAAAAAATAATTTTGCCATAAACCAACAGATCTTTCAGACAGTGCTTTGCTAGGAAAAAATATAGCTTAACAGAAATGAAAGTTTGCTGCACGAATAAGAGATTTTGCTACCAATCCTGCTAAACACCACAAGTGCCAACAAGTTTCTCAGATGTACAAAATGGACTTTTGACAATTTTGGGTATGTTACTGATCCTTATGCAAGCACTTATTAATAAAGGGAAACAAGTTAACTCTCTCAGAAGAACAAAGTATTTTAAATGGCAGCTTTGTTATAATAAAGATCCAAAGTTTAAAAGAGGTCAAAAAAGAAAACACCAACATTTTTTTTTTTTTTAATATTAATTTAACAATACAGTGAGTGCAATGCAGTAAGTTAATGCTTTTAGAATTAAAGCTACTATGTTACAGTGGATTTAGTATAGTTATATTTTCCTTAAGAGGTGACGAACAGCTGCTAAGTTAAGGTCCAAAAAAACACATTTATTTTTAACATTTGGCAAAGGTTTATGGTTCTCTGTACAGACATTTCAAAGTGTATGTTGGAAATAAATATGAAATGTCAATATTTAGCTTTATTCCAGATCTTTAATGAAATTACTGCTTCTGTGAAATATTCTAAATATGTATTACAGCTTCCATTGCACAGATTGGAAAACTGGAGGGGATAAAAGAAAAGTTTATTAGTAAGTATAAAATGAAACAACAGCTAGCCAGGTTACCCCACTGGCCATATTTCAGCATGTTTACTATAACTTAATTCAAAGAAATCAAGCTAAAAAAAAGTCAAAACAAAGCTTTTCCTCTCTGGGTTCTGAGATCACTGACCTCAGTGAGTTAAAATTCATTGCTCTGTTGTGAGTTTATTTTACAGACAACTAGAGCACTATTAGCCTAAATATTGCAAAACATAGTACATACCCATGAAAAAAACCTAATTTGTGTGCAAGAATATGTTTGTAGAGTAGCAAGATCAGAATTTGGAATTACTTGTCCTTCACATGTCCTGCTATATTTATGCAAAAATATCCCAATCCTAAAGTGGTCATTAAAGCAGTTGGCATTTAATCCATAGATTAATATGGGGTTTATTGAGGTCTATATGAGGGGTTTATTTTTATATAAGGATTTTATGTTACTTCTTATTTTTTCTCATTGGCTTTAAGACATAAAATGACTGGTTTGGTTTTCTTAATTGATGAGAATTACAGGTATATTTATTTTTAAACTGCAATCTTACATCCCTATGCTATGCAGAAAACGTGTATGGAGCCAAGGCAGTTAAAAAAGAAGTTAACAAGTTTTCATTTTCTACAGTAACAGGGCAAACTGATTTTTAATGTTTTAGGTAGTCAAGGTGAACCTGAGGTTCCTCATCAGAATTCACTGCAACTTCCTGACACATGAAAATAACCTCTGCCCCAGTTATTCTTCACTAGCACAACTATGATTGCTTCACTGACCATAAACTATGGCAATTTATATGGGCATGGACCTGCCCTGAGGCAGCTTTAAAATTAGCTAATGTGCTATTTTGGGCTTTGCTTTTAAATACATTTAATCTCAGACAAAACATGCCATATTAAAATCTTCTGTGCCACATGTTCACTTTACTTTTTTTGCCAGACAGTCCTGCTAGTATAAAGTATAATGAGTAATGATCTTGGACTCACGTAGCTAAAGCTCACCAGTATAATGGTTACTACACTAGCAAAATTATCTCTGTAAGTGGCTCTTCATGCTGGCAATGCAGATACTTTCCTGAAACAGGCTGAGCTTGAGCTCTGTAGCACACAAAGAGGCTCTGGGTGCCATGATAAATTAGCCAGGCACATGAAGGACTGGAACCTCACCTAAGAAACCCCCTTGAACAATAATATATCTGCTCTTCTCTCAGTTCATCTAAAATCCAAACACTTTTTAGTGTAAGTGATCTTGCCAACAAGGATCATAAAACTAGAACACATTCCACATCTTCCAAATCAAGAAGTTAATTACAAGTAGTATTCATAATTTGGGAAATTCTTTTTATTTCTAAGCTTTAAAGGATGCACTTGCCAGAAACATGACAGATGTAAATTTTTTTTTAACATGAAACCTGAGAATGTAATTTAATCTGACTGTAGCAGCTAAAAATGTGTATGAAAAACAAACATTACAAGACTTCCAGTAATCTCAAGTACTGGCAGCAATGCCATAAGAGCAGCTGTAACTGAGAAATGCTTAGATGGACAAAAACTTATTCACATCTAAACTAAATATGCCAAAGATTACTTTATTGATGATTTCAAAGATCTCAAAGCTAGACATCTATGTCAAACATCAGTGGCAATAAAATATTATAAAAAGAAGCACTTGAGCAAGTGTGCAGTATGATTTATTGGGATGTTTTTCTTCTTAATGGATTTAATAGCTGGTGAGGTCTAAATTAATTACTAGTAATAGTCTTGACAATTATTTTTTGACAAAACAAAAAGAATCCTATTTCAATGTTTCTATTGGAGTGGGAAAATAAAAGCTCTAGGAAAAATAAGTAAGGAATAATTAAGTGTTCTACTGCATCTTACCCCCCCCTTCCAAGACTACCTGTATTTTCTTCTACTCTTTAACCAATTTAAAAAGGAACACAATTTATACAAATGTCTAATACCTTCCAAACAACCAGAAGCCAACATTTTTTCAATTGCCTGTTACATAAATGTATTTGCAATAAAATTCAGAATTAAGAAAAAAAAAACAACCAACTGAAAAAGCAACTGTAGATTCAGAACATTCTGCTATGAAATTAAGTGAACTCATAGTGTTTGGTATCTTTAATAAGATCTGCCTCACAGGAAATATGATACTACAGTTTTATAGAAGATGAACACTTCTGAAATATTTATAAATTTACATGAATATCATCCATATATACAGTGACGCATTTCAATAATTATTCTACAATACAATGGGAGTGCATGCTCAAACAAAACACCTCAGCAGTATTTTAAAGCAGTAAACCACCTAGCCAATTTCTGTATGTTCTGTAGTTTTTCTAATCCACTCTCCCTGTGGTTGAGCAAAATCGAATTGCCTCTCACATTTGCAGACAGCTCTGTGAAGGTGATAATAGAGCTGCTCCCTGCTGTCATGAGGCAGGAAATAGGAAAATGGCATATGGGGCTAGAAAGAAATAAAAAGAGAACTAAACAAGAACAAAAGAGATTTCAACAAAGGACAACTATAACCCAATATGCTTTGCAAGTTAAAATCTCTTTTCATAATAATTTAACGTACTTAATCATTTATCTACATGCTTCTCAAAAATTCAAATGCTTGATATCAACTTCTCTGTAAAGTTTTATTGCCCAAAACATTTGGAATAGAAATTTTAATAAAAATCATCATATGCAATGCCTGCAAACCGATGCATTCTTAGTACCCATGTTAAGGGGCTGAACTTATTCCAATCTGTTGGTAATAGATCTCAGAATTTTTAGCTAAAATTTAATATATGAAACAACGTATACTTGGATTATTAGTTGTAAACCTGTTGAGTGACACTTGAATAGCAAAATATTAAGAGAGGATTATGATTGGTTATGTGTACTGACAATATCAAAGACTTCCAGCTTGTTTAAGGACTACTTACGTAAGATGCAGAACAAACTGGAATGATCTTTTCATTTACAATGAGATTTTGGTTTTATTTTTATTTTTAATACAGTATGGGCCTCCAAAAATCAAGTATTTACATATATTTACAGCGTTCCTGTATAAATCTTACTAAAGTACCTTAAAAATTAAAAGCAAGCCTACTATACCTTTCCTTTTACACTCTGAATGGGATCCACCACCACAGCAACAGCTCTTTCTGATAAGGCTTCAAAGCTCTGCTGAGTATTGATATCTACACCAGACAACCAACAGCCAAAGCCAGGATGACTATGATACCAACCAACTACCATCTCAGGTCTGAAACAAAGAGGACATTGAGATTTTTAAAAGTATAAACACTTATCACAAGAAGAAACAGGAACATATCAGGGCATAAATTACGATGAGCTGTGAAAAAACCACCATTAGTAATATTTAAATTACTCACCATAGTATGGTGAAAACATGGACATGAATAAATGCGACAAAAGAGGGCTATCATTAAGGGATACACATTAGCAGTGGTAGATCATGCTTTCAGTTTTTCACCCTGTTACCACACCTTCCCTGAACCAGTTTTTACCCTTTCAGCACTTGAGTAAATATCTACTCTTTAACTCCTTGGCGTCGAAGGTTGAATTTTCACGGCAGAAAGTCCATTTCAGACATGGACAACGGGAACCAACGGTGGGAAAGGATTAAATATCAATTAAACCAGCAGTAGAACTAGGAACTCAGTCAAAAAGCAATTTGCACTGTTCTGTTCAGCTGCTGAGCCTTTTGCTAACATTAATTTTGAAGTTTTTCCCACAGTAAAAGAATTTGAGCAAGCAGACGACAACTGTTGAGAGGTAGGAGTGAAATAAAAATTTGTTTAAATACTAGGATCTTTTGCAAAATTATTTTCTGTTTCTTTTCATTAAAATTGCTCATGAATAAGCTATAACTTCAAAAATTAAAGAAAATTTATTTAAAGGGTTAAATAAAAAAATCAATCCTTTAAGCAGGTGCTGTGTAGTAGCCGCCTGTGCTAAACTGAGCAGCATTCTAATATTTCTGGGTGATAATCAAAGCTGTAGGTTGAACAGGAGTGACAATCTCCTGACAATTGAAATGCATGACGGAGACTGAATTACATGCTATGCTACTCACCTAATTTTTGGGGAAATTATTTATTCTTAAACATTATTAATAGCCCTTAGATCGCAAGTTTTGCAGAAAGCCAGCTGTTTCTTCCCAAAACCATGGAGAGAGTACTTGTGCCTGTGAGCTCTCTTTACAGTGACTTACCTTCCCGTCTGTTTCAGCATATCCAACATTTTTGCTTGAAATACAGGATCAACTGCCTCCACACTGACACCCTGATTTAAAAGACAGACAAAAATCATAGTCACCGTACATGAAGCAATATTATTAAAAGACAGACAAAAATCATAGTAGCTGTACATGAGGCAATATTATCTTTTAACTTGTAACTTCACACAAACAAAAATATTCATAAGCATCTGTTTAAAAAGACAACCTGAATACTTTAGTACTACATGACAGAACACCCTTAAACACAAAATATAATTTTTAGAAATGTATTTCAATGTGATTTTTTAAATGCTGAAAGATTATTTTGAATTGCTATTTAACTAATCTTTAATTAGTTTAAATAATGATTAAATAGGCATAGGAATTCACCTTTTTCTCCTCTGTTTAGTCTGCAAATAGTGGCCTGTTCTTTGTCCCAAGTTGAGCTCTACACGTTTTATTCAAGATAAATATCACATATTGAATCTTGCAGATTTTTGTATTATGCACATGAATAAACTCAGGACAAAAGAATTTGAAAATTTAATGTAGTGCAGCTCTGAGTTAAAAAGGAATCATCCCATGCCTGTTTTAAGAACATTTCATTCCAGTTACAAAAAATAAAGCATCAAAAATTCCAATTATGTCTCTTGACTCTTTACCGCTTTAAACTGTTCATAAAATGGATATTCTTACTCAAAATTTAAATACATTTTTTTTCAAACCACGGAATTATCATTTAAGAGACATGCAACTAAGATTTGTCAAAGACAGGAAGTTTGAAGTATATAGCACCATCACAATTAAGGGCATGATACATTTCTAATCAAACATTTCACATTTTGAATATTTCTGCTAGCTCACAGTATATGAGTTCTGAATGTTATCAATTTGTAAGTCTTATTAGTCATGTAGTACACTACATTTATACATAAAAAAGGTCATAATATCTGCATATATTGATACACACACTTAAGTACTAGCCTTCTCTCAAGTAGAAATTTTGACTACATTTCATTTTACTGAAACCCTTTAACCATTAGACTTGTTTGGATTATAACTCACAGTTTATACCTTCAGATTGCTTCAATGAGGTAAAGCATAAAAAGCTTTTAAAAAATAAATTTACTCTAAGGAAAAAAACTAACAAGCAAATAAAATTATCAAGGTCTAGATGCAAAGAGCTCACCGTTCCGGACTGTGGCATTGCAAAAACATCAATCACTCTCACAGTATAATCATCAACAAATTCCCCAAGCATCAGACCCATAACTTCCATAGGGACACCAGCACGACCATGCTTCAACATCTGGAATTAAGACCAAATGACACCATATGTTTAACAGAAGGCTCAAGTCTTATTTGATGTATTTTTTTCAGCCTTTGTTCATCTCTAGCTAATTTGCAACTTGTAGCACTTTTGGAAACTGTAACAAACTATAAAATAGTAAAAACAAACCCAACAAAAGAGAATTAATTAAAATAAGTTTCTGAGGGTTCCAATCAGTATTAATTTATTTTTTAAATAAGTCTGGCCAGCACTTAGGCAACACAAGTCCATTAACTCTGGACTGCTGCCAGGTGCTCTAACTCCAGCATTATATTCAGACATAGTATGTACACAGAACACTTACTTTCAGCAGTGCAAGGGAAGAGATATAAACCTGTTCCGCTGTATCGACCGCAGGAGCATCTGTTGGTGGCCCCTATAAAAAGAATAAACAATTATTTTCACCATCACTGTTATCCGGCAGTTTCTAAATATTTTCTTTTGTTTTGCATATTGCAAAACTTATAGAAAAATGCATATGTAATTCTGACTTAATGAGTTAGATGTAGATGTTACAAACAAAACAAAAAATCGCATACCCAATCCCCAAACCCTTCTTTACAGCACTTTCTGTCGCTAACATAATTTTGTAATAGGACCCCCAGCCATCATCCTGTCACCCTCCACCCCAAACAACACAGTCTAAAAAGCAATCTTATCAGAGCCAGTCAAATATAAAGCAGGCAAGTGTTACACTGGATACAAACCTGTTACAAGCCATTCATTCATGCTAAGAGTCAGATAAGTTTCCATTAGTCAGCCTTGCTGCAATGCTAACCTTCGTCAGCTGAAAAATATGGCCAGTTCTCCAATTAACTATGTGTTTCTTACAGTGGTGTGAATGTAAATGCTGCTGGGCTAGCATGATTAACTGGCATCAACACAAACAGCAATTTCCCTTTGCTTCATCAGCTTTCAGCTAAAGAGGACTTGCAGATAAAGGCTATGGGAGTACTTTGCAGATACACTGGTACAGTGAGAGAAAAAACGGACCTCTGATCCCTAGGTGGAAAAGCTGTGAACAAAATACTTTGCTCTTTGCCTTATGAGTAGTTATTCAAAAATTAGCACAACTGTCCCAGGTGTGAATGATTGGTTGAAACAGGTTTTGTGTACTGTTGAAATTGAAAAACACAGGAGGCAGCAGTTTAAATGTCCCTTTCTTGAGGAACAAGAGAAATATTGCTGTTATATACAGAATTCCACAGGAGCGTACCTCATTACAGCCAATTAACAGCACGTTCATTACTTTATTACCAAATTTCCACTGAAAAGACACAGCTTCTGCATGAGGTGATACAAACTTAGAAGGGGAACAAAGCAACTATGGAAAAAAAAGATACTCCACATCAAGTTAAAAGAGGAAAAATGGTGCCTTTACCAAACACTTAATAGACTCAGAACTTTGATTCCATAGTTATAAGCAAAACTAGGGAAAAAAAAACTTTTGAATAAATTTTTAATTTTTCACTTCAAGTGAAAAAATTCAACACAACATGCATCCATATGACATCAAACAAGACATAGCAATCAACACAAGCCATTACTTCCTGTAGATAAAACTGGTTACTTACATAATCAACACATTATATTTGTACAGGAATTATCCTTTCTGCATACTTTGATATTCACACACACAAAAAAAAATCAGTCTTCACAATAAAGCTTTAAAGACAGTAAGAAAATTCAATTGTGGGGTTTCCCCCCCTTAAAGTCAATGAATCTGTGAGTTATACATCCAATTTTTATATTATGAATCCAATCTTTGTATTTTGAAACTCAAATGGATCTATCAACCACATGCACTTCCTAAAAGCTTCAAACCTCTATTTCCAACTTTGATACTGCTGACCATCATCTCTCAGTATTTGCCCTTCCTTTCTTACTACTCATTCCTAATTCTTCTGTCACTTTAGTCTTTTCATCAGCAATCTTCCAGCATCTTTCTCTGTTTTTCACCTTCCATAGTATTGTCACCAAAAGTCTATTTTTCATCAACCTCACCCCTTCATCAAGTATTTCCCTGGCCTAGCCCTAGCCCAAAAGTGAGATGCTCCAGTTGAGACGAGCTCCTCTAGCACTCACACTGAAACACTCTAAGAGCAGTTCTTCAGAACATTTCCCAGAACCAGATGGACAGAGCACCTGCATTACTTATACCGAATTTTCTGCAATTAAATTGACTGGCAAAGCTTCAAATGCCCAATCAATTTGCAATGCTGTTCCCATGGTTTTATTCTCCATAAACATGTCAGTTTACTTTTTCATCTCTTATCTCTTCTGCTTTAAGTCTATTCACTTAGAAGTGTTCACTTAGAATTTGGAAAGCACAAAGACTCATGTTTCTGCTTAATCAATGCAAAGAAAAAAAGCCCAGGTAATGTGAGTTTTAATTTTAAAAGTTACTTACTAGTTTGTTAACAAAATTCTTTTTTTATACATAACGCTCTCCCAATTTTCCACCAGTTCTAGACCAGAGATGGAATGAAGGGAAGACAAAAATAAATAGTAACCTTGCATTTTAGGAAGAGCCCTAACACCCATGCTGTGATCACCAAATGCATTCCACATTTGTTCCAGATTTTAACATTTCACTGTAAGCAACCATCCCATTACACCATTCAGTAATTTTAAAAATAAAGAACAGAGCAATAAAAATCTCCCCCAGATTAGCACAAATAGTTCCATGATTTCTGGAAGGCCTGTCTTGCTATTCAACTGAGACTAGCTTCTCAAAAATCAGGAGGCGTGAACTGAAGCTTACTCCACAGACTATGCCTCTTGGATGAGCTCTCCTCTATGAAGTTTCCAGTGCTTGCTAAAATCACACTGACACCTGTCCTGCAGCTGAGGCATTAATCAAAGCTCTGTCCTCTATACAGATGCCTGTGCCCTCAACTTATAAAAAGTTTATTCTTCATAACTTTTCTCATTTTAGAGATCAGTCAGTAGATTCACCACTTACAGGGAGGAAACAAAGACAAACATTAATACATTCTGTTTCTGTAACAAGGCAAAGGAATCACCTTTAGTTTGAGTGAAGGTAAGAACTAAAGCAGGGTGTTCAAAATATTCCCTTATGATTTCTATATTCCTTGGAGCGTCCAAATGCTCATTTAACTTGGTGATGGTGCAGAAGAGGAGTAGTATCATACCTAATATGATACTTCATCAAATTTCAGGCATTCTATGAGATAAAATAGGGTTGTTTTTCAAAACTTGCATTGAATTCCTGTTGCCAGCACCCATAGTCAACAATTTATTTTCAGCATAGGAAACTCTGCTAATTCATAAAGGAATTCTTCACTGGTGCAAACCAAATTTGCTATTTTTTTTAAAGCCATAGTATTCACTGTGAAGGATTTTACATATTAAATATGTTTAAAGAGATACAAAAATTACTACACTAAGGATTAGGAGGTATCAACAGTATATTTCACTGCTTCATTTTAAGCACATGCAAGACATAGTAAAAGTATCAAACATGAGTTTCCACTCTTACCATGCAGTTCAACCAATTTACCTGAACTTGTAAAAATTAGCTAATGGTAGTACACAAGGCAGGTTTGTTAACTCTCAGTCATCTTATAAAAACACAGCACATACCAAGTATTTCCTTGGTCATTGATGCTTCTTTGTGTGACCTCACTCTCTCCTTTCCATCTGCTCTTTTCTTCTTATAGATTTTAATTACCAGTTAGATTATGGGAAAATTTAAGTGCTCATTACACCGTAGCACTTATGTGTATTAATTTTCATGCTAATACTCATTCTTTTGTTTTGAATATCAATTACAATGAACTGCTCAAAAGAGTACTGAAATTCAGAAATTCTGAGGAGGAACTGATCTGTAGGTCAAGGTTCACATTATTTTTCTACCAAAGATTAACTGCCACACATTTGTATTTCTACAGAAAATTCTAAACCAAAGTTCATCATATTCTTAACATAAAAACTTCAAAGATTTAACAGCTAAAGCAAACTTGGGTCTTCCAAGTAGTTTACTTGACTTTAGATTATTTGAAAACAGAGACATTTGGAAACTGGAACCAGTTTCTTCCATCTCTGATCACCTCCATTTCCACAAATGGCTGATAATGTAACACAGCCCTGGAGTGACAGCCCCAGTTTCTGCATGTTAGTTACACAGTATGTGGGAGCCAGCTATGAGTTACATGTTTTGAGATCTCTTTGGCCTGTTTCTGGTAGTCTTTCACAAAAGTTTACGCATTTCTTTCATCAAGCAAAGAAGAAGAAAGATTTTGTTAGCTAATCTCTACATGGAGGCAAATATTTTACACTGACCCTCCACAGCATGTGCTATTACCACTGCTCATAAACTTCACTGCCTGCCAACTTTAACAAAGAAGCACCATCCTTACGAAGCAGAGCACCAAATTAAATTAACTGGTATCAGGAACCCAGACAAGAAAGCGTTTGTGTCTGCAATGCAATAGAGCTGCTGGTGTCTGTAGTTACATTATCATATTCAAACGACAGCTACCTCATTGCATTGTTTTGGAAGACTGTCCATCTCATTGCAAATACTGCATACCTACAACTTTATTGGATTGTTTCTTGGAGAACTGGAGAAGAATTACATTTGGAAACTGCAAGGAATACTGAACATTCTTTTTCCCAACTATGCATATATAAGCTGGACACAGTAATTATTAAAATTAAAGAACTGCTGTAAAAAATACTGTTATGTTTTACTGAAAATTGATACTTCTGAATCAACTCTATGCTTCCAGTCACTGAAATGAGCTGCCTGATGGCCACCTTTTAAAACCCAACCAAGCTTTAGGATTCCTTTTATTTAGAATGGCAGAATTCCAAGTTCAATAATAATTGATAAAATTAAGTTACCACTATCCAAACAATTTTTTTTTTGTAAGACTTGTAAGGGAAAAAGAATCACATGCAAGTTATGGACAGAAAATTACATCGTAATATTATATTATGCAGGTTACTATTTTTGTTTAAAATAGTTAGAGATGATAGAATATAAAATGCAGTCCTTTACTTGGGTAGCCCTTGTTGACGAAGTGTTAAAGGCATTTGCCATTCTTACAGGATAAAAACTAACGCCTTGAAGTGTTACCTACTCAGGCCTTTTAGCAAATTTGTTAACACTTTTAGGTATATTACTTCACCTTTCTCTTAGTGTGAACTGATATAAATTATTTAGCCAATTTTATTATTAAATGTGAACTGAAGTGTCATTTTAGGACACTGCTCTTTATTTGTACTATTTTAGATTTATTCAAATAGTTACAGAAAGCAAACTTGATTAATTACACAAGGAACTGAGAAATATTCCACAAATGGATACACTGTCCATTGTTTAAATGGATCTTAAACTCTGCTCTGGCT